GGCCCTTAAAGCCAGTGGGAACCTCCAGCTCAGTAAGGCCTTCCCCCACCCACCCACCCCCCATCCTCTGAGAGAGAAGGATAATTAATGCTAATGAACACATTTAGGCTGGAGAAGTGCATAGAAGCCAAACTGGTGTGGAGTTAGACAGGCATTTCAGGGGTCTCATGGACCTCCTTAGAAATTTGAGGGGGGCGCAGTGGATGGAGCACTGGCCCTGAGGTCAGGAGGACCTGAGTTCAAATCCGGCCTCAGACCAAACACTTGACACTTACTAGCTGTGTGACCCTGGGCAAGTCACTTAACCCCAATTGCCTAAAAAAATTAAAAAAAAAAAAAAAAGAAAGTTGAGGAGGGTGGACAGAGAGGAGCAGACAGAGCCCAAGCAGTATGAAGACTGAAGTACCAGGCCCAAGCCAGGTGAGAAAGTAAAAATAAAAGGGAGACATATACCTAGTTGGGTACTTTGAAGATAGGGAATGGAGACTGTCATTGTGATTTAGTGGGAAACCAGAATGGGAGTCGAGGCCCAGTACATTCTCATCCCAGCTCCACCAGTAACTCATTGTGTGACATTGGGCAAGGCATTAACCATCAGTGGACCTCAGTTTCCATATCCATAAAATAAGGAGTGGACTAGACAATCTACAAGGCTTTTCCAACTCTTTCATTTCATGAATCTTTGACCTGAGGTCTTAGTCATAGTCTCCATCTTGTCTTCTCTGGCCTTCCCTGGCCTTCCCCATGGGCCCTTGGGACCCACTGGGGGTCCTAAGGAGACAGTAGGGAGAGACATGATTAGAGGAAGATGGGGCTAGAAAAGGAGAGTAAACAAGGAGTAACAAGTAACAAGGAGTAACCTGAGGGGAGTTGAGGAAATCCCAGACAGTTGGGGACAGCTGTGTGCTGGGTTGGGGCCACAGGACACACAGAGCCACAAAGAAACTGTATGAAAATTGAGAGTGAATCAGGGAAAGAGTGGACCTGGTTGGAGAGATGCTGTCTCAAAGGAACTCTCTTTGGAGTATTTGCTTGCCACTATTTTCTCTCTGCTTAGGTCACATCCACAAATGTTGGTTAAACACCTACCATATGCAAAGCACAGTGCTAGGCCCTGGAAATATAAAGACAAAAATGGAAACTGTTCCTGCCCTCAAGAAGCTTACATTCTCTTGTGCTTATCTCTAAAGCTCTAGGGATAGAGGCAGTTAGGTGATGGAGTAGATAGCACATTGGACCTGGAGTCCAGAAGACCTGCATTCATATTCAACTTCAGATACTCACTAGCTTTGTAACCCTGGGCAAGTCACTTAACATCTGTCTGCCATAATTTTCTCCTCTCTAAAATGGGGATAATTATAGCTTCTGCCTTCCAGAGCTGTTAGGAGAATAAAATGAGAAAATATTTGTAAAGTGCTTTGCAAATGTTAAAGTGCTATGTAAATGATAGCTATTGTTATTATTATGCCCAGACAATTGGCAGGGCCAAGATGGGTAGTCCAGAGGCAGGCTCAGACACTTAGATCATCCCTTCAACGTCCACATAGACACATTGAACACATACTTCACAACCTGAGACACAGGGGAAAGGTCAAAGTTGGGAGATCAAAGTGTATCAAATTGGCCCCCAAAATAAAGGTGCTTCTGAGAGACCCTCACCTCCCTCAGAGAGGAGGCTGGGAGGATCCTGAACTAGGGGTATGATGTGGGTGGAGGAGGGATCTGGGGCCGAAGCAGATTACATCCTAGGAACCATCAACGAAGAGAATGGGGAAGGTAAACTAGGTCCTGAGGTTGCTTTACAAATGCCGCCGGTTGAGAATGGATGTTAAGAGCCTTTGGGAGAGTTTCTTCCTAAACCTAGAAGCTGCAGAAAGTAGAATGTGTCTGGACTTAATGTTCAAGATTCTGATACCCATCCTCTCCATACCTACCCTCCATACTTATGGAAATGAGAGGCATCATGGTGTCATGGATAGTATCTGAATGACACCATTTTTTAACTGCGTGGCCACAGGTGCAAGTCACTTGGGCTCGCTTTCTTCCTCTGTAAAATGAGGGGGGGAGGGGTGCCTAGAAGAGGTCCCTTCCAATGCCAGATCTGTAATCATATGAAATTCTCTGATCAGAGCTCTTCGGAGGTCAGCAGGTCATTCCCCAGCCCAGTCTCCCTTGCCTCCACCTCTCTGTCCCTCTCCAAAATACTCGTGCTGCTGTCCAGCTGCTTGCGTGCTCTTCTCTGGATGTGGCTACAACCCCTTTAGATGATGCTCAATGGGAGCTGGAGTGAGTGGAAGCTCTGTATGTCCCACAGAAAGCAAAAGGCAAAAGACATCCTTGATCATTTCAGTTGCCTTGGATTGTAGTCCCCTTCCTCATTTTGGGGTGGTAGTAGGGAGAAGGGAGTGTGTCCCACCCCCTCATCCCAATGGCCCGGGCCCCTGAGGTTTCCTGGAGCACTGATTGCTTCCTGCACTCCCTGCCAGGCCGGAAAAGACAGGAAGTGATAGAGGAACTGGTGAGAGAGAGAGAGAGAATCCTGTATGTGTGAGAGAGAAAATAAATGTAATGTGCCTGTTTGTGTAAGAGGATACATGTGATATGTTTGTGAGAGGAGAAGGACCATGTAAAGTGACTGAGACAATGTATGTATTCGTGGCACTGTGTGGTGACTGTTTCCAAGCTAATGTGTGACTGTGGCTGGCTTTATCTGTGAGAGAGACTAAGACAAAGACAGTCAGAGAAGAAAATTATGTGTGAGACTAGAGCGGCAGAGACACTATATGTGACTATGTGAGATTGTATATATGTGCGAAACTAATATCAAGTGTCAGAGATTTCGTGTGACTTTCTATGAGACAGTGAGGAATGACCCTGTGACTCTGCAGCTAGGAGATACACTGTGACATGCCGTGGCCACGTTTGTTTGTGTGTGAAGAACTGTGAAGGAGAGATGCTATAGTAACAAATGGATGGAAGGAGATTGACATCCAACATGTTATAAGACTGTGAGAATTTACGTAAGAGGGCAGGAGGAGAGGGGAGAAAGAAGAGAGAAGGGAGAAAAGAGGGGATGGACATGCACACAAAAGAGAAACATCCACAGAGAGGAGAGATACACAGAAGGAGACACAGGGGGGAGAAGGAAAAGAGACACAGAGAAAGAAGATATAGAAAGAGAGGAGAGAGTTGACAGAGATGAAAGGTAGGTAGGAACAGAGAAGAGACCAAGTCAAGAGGTAGGAAGAGATACACAGAGACATTGACAACTCTTTGCCCTATGTGTATGATAAATTTCGGGTATTTGGACGACACTGTGACTTTGAGCTCTGTGTGTTTGGGTGATGGAAAGGGAATTAACGAATGCTAGTATGTGTGAGCCTGTGAGAAAGCTCTCTGTTGTCACATCGGGGAACTCGAATGTGAACCTGAATTCGCTCTGACATCTGCAGGCCAGGGTTACATGTAAGATCACCAGGTATGTGTTACCTAGCTGTCCCTTCTTCCCCCACCCCAGTCACCTGCTTCTTTCAGGATCGAGGCCAGAGGCTACACAGGACAGTCAGCCAGGCTTGGGGAGCTGGGAAGTTCTGGTTAAGCTGTCCTGAGACAGTAAAAGAAGGGGCCTGGGGCACAGCTAGGCTCTTTCCCTCTCCAAGAGACACAGACCAGGACTGAGGGGCTCCTACCTCCTAGACTCAGAATGTTAGAACTGAGAGGACCCTTACAGGCTGTTTAGTCCAACCCTTTCTCCCTCCTTCTGCCACACCCCCAGAACCCCACTTCCTACCCTGCTCCTTGCTCCTGGCAGTTCTTATTTCTATGACTCCGGCACTAAAAGGCTTCCCTGCAAAAAGAAACCATGCCCAGACCCCAGCATATCTCTTTCTATGCCCCCTACTCTTCTGCCTGTCCCTCTCACAGACCTCCTGAGAGAACCCCACTCTTTTGCTCCCAAAGGATCCTCTTTAACCGCTCCCAACCCCCATGCCCCTCTGCCCATGTCCCTGTGTGCATGTGGAGAGAGTGAGGCTGCCCAGCCCAAATTGGAAGCACATTAGGAGGAGGAGGAGGGGGGAGGGGAGAAGGGGAGGAGCCCCCTTTATCCCTCCCTCCCTTCCCCACCCCCCTACTGCCACCACCACTAGTCTGCCTAGCCAGGCTCTCCAAATTGCTTCCTCCTGTAAAAGGCCCGACCCTGCTTCTCAAGGGCTACAGCCCCTTACTCCCCACTAGTTGGGGGTGTGGTTGCTTAGGCTGAATCTCTCTAAAGGACTTCAGCTAAGGGGGAGCCAGGTGGGCCCCCCAGCCCAAGGCTGCAGTGTGGCCACGTCTGAGGAGGAGCTGGCTGGCAGCTGGGGAACAGCTGGCTTTCAAGTGGGGGTGGGGGTGGGGGGAGGGGTGGGGAAGGGGTATGGGAGGGAAAGGCAATGAAGCAGCTGGCAGTGGGTAATGGGATGGGGGGTGGGGAAGGTCCCAAAGTCCTAAGAATATGTGAATCTCCCTCATCCCTCCCTATCCCAGGCCTTTTAGCCAACAAGTTGGGGGGGGGGAGGTGTGCAGTGCTGTTAGTGAAGGTGAGGCTTCTCCTTCTCCCTATGGATATAGGAAACAGCTACTGATTGATCCTTACTTTTTCCCCCACTTGAAATATTCAGGGGTTCCTTACCTGTGGTTGAGCAATGCTTCCCTCTTTATCCCACACTGCCCCACTCCCTGCACTTCCCTAACATGGGATTTACCCTGGACCAAAGCTAGAAACTCAAACTATGCTTGGGTGAGGACCCCTCCCACAGCTCAGAAAAGTAATCAGTCAGGGGCTGGTGCCCAGGGGGTTGCATCTCCAAAGTTCACCCTTCTCACCAGGATAGCAATTTCCTGTAGCCAGAGAACATGTTAGGCCTCTCCCTGAGGGTGGGGAGTGGGGGAGAGGCTTTGGGCCCCTGGGAGATTCTGCAGTCTTGCAGAGCTGGGCTCGGCTGAAGATAGGATCCTAGATGGGCTAGGGGCTGTAGAGGGTGGGGAGGGGGAGAGCCCCAGGCATCCAGAGGCTTAGCCCCAACCACGTGGAGCAGTCCAGCCAGTTCTTCTGGTGCATCAGGCCCCAAGGAGAGTGGGCAGGCAAGAGGCCCCTTATCTTCTCACCTGTCCTAAAGCCTGCTCAGGCACCTTTCCCTGCCCTCCCCCCCACCACTCCACTCCCAATCCCAAGCGAGGGCAGACCATGAGGAAGATTGAGGACCTGGACAGAGGGAAGGGATGAGCTATATCTGTAGATAGGAGCTGAGTGGGGAGTGGGGTGTGGAAATCTAGAGGTCACAGTACAGGGAGCAGATGGCTACAAGAGAGGAAAGAGACTGTCAGTAGCTAACAGGGTTGGGTCCAAGGCCAGAAGAGATTGCCATGCCTTGCACATAGTAGGCACTCAGTAAATATTGTGGATTAGAGATTGGAAAAACTAAAGTCAATGGCAGAAAATGGGAGGGGGATAGGTTTTTGCATTCACATCGTTGAAGAGTGAACATGGTTGGTGGGGAGAAGATGGACTGTCCATGGGGGATGAAGGACAGGTTCTAGGTCCTCCAGAAGCTCTGATTGGGATGCTTGGGTCTCTCCAGCTCTGTCTCCCTACTGCTGCTGTGGTCTCCTCACTCTAGCACTCCTCCCATTCCTTCCTTCTCTGGTTTTCTTTCTCTTCTCCATCCTCTCCCTACATTTTTCCTTCTCTTCCACTCTCTTTTTTCTCTCTTCTTCAGGATTTCTTTGTCCCTTTCTCCTCTTCCTTTATCCCCGTCATTTGCTCATTCTCTGTTTCTCTTCCCTTTTGGTCTCTTTGTCTCCCCTTCTCTGTTTTCTTTCCTCCCGAACCTTCCTTTTCTATCTGTTTCTCCTTCCGCATCTTCTTTCCCTCCCTTTCTATCTTTTTTCTTTCTGTCTTTATGTGTATGTTCTGCTCTCTAGCCCCCCTCTCCTTCCTGCCCTCCTTTCTTCTATCTCTCTTCTGCCCTTTCTCTTTTCCTTTTCTCCTTTCTGTTCCAATCTCTGAGTTCTTTACCTGTGTCCTAGTTTCTATTCATCATTGTATCTCTCTGTCCATGTTCACTTTATCCCTGACTCCCTTTCCTCTCTCGAAAGTGCTGGATTTAGAGCTGGGAGCCCCAGAGTCTAATCTCGGCTCTGACATTTACTGCGCCACTCACTGTGGGCAAAATGCTTCATTTTTCTGTACTAACTTTCCTCATCTTTGAAATATTTATACTACCTTCCTCACAGGATTGTTTGGGAAGGAATAGTTTGGTAAACTTTAAAGTGCTCTATAAATGTGAATTATTATTATTAATCAATGGCATAGTCAAACACTATAGAGGTTGTCTACAGCCTGGAGAGACTAAGCAGGGGGAGGAAGAAGTAAGCTGTAATATCTCTAAGGAAAAAGGTGTTTCCCTCCCATCTATGCTGCTGCTGTAAGGGGAGAGTCTCCAGCATTGGGGGGCGGGGGGGAAGGGGGCAAAGGTTCACACCCTTGTCTCCCCTGGGAGACAAGAAGCTGAAGGAGTTTCATACTACACTCGGCCCTGCCCCCATTCCCAAAGGCACTGGCTGGTCAGTCTCCCTTCCCTGACCCCGGACCCCTTCTCCCTTCTCAAGGGATGGGCACTGGAGCCAGAAGTGGTCTGCTCAGCCTTATTACTTTGAGCAAAGAGACTTCTGAGCCCCACCAATGGGAGGGCTCTGTTAGTTCTCCTCTTTGAAATTCCCACTACTCTAGCCAGCATGGTAGAGTGGGAAAAGTACCAGAATTGAAGGTAGAAAACCCAGACTCAAATCTGCAATCTACTACTTATGGCCTGTGTGACCTTGGGCAAGTACTTCCTCTCAGTTTCCTCCACTATGAAGTGAAGTGTCCCTTCTGGCTCTGACTCCAGTGCTTCTCTGATCTCAAGGCCCTTAGCTGCCCCTCTCTAAGCCACTAGCCTATCACCTCTCTACCCCAACCCTCCCTTACTTTTTGTCCCCAGATCCTAGCATGTGTCAGAAGGGTCCAAACTGGCCTAGCCACTCAGGATGGTAGTGACGATGGGGGAGGTCTGACTTTTCTTCTTGTTTCTCATGAAACAACCTACTGATGTCACTAATGTGTATCTTAAGGGACATGTTACAGAAGAGGCAGCTGAGGCCCAGAGATGTTAAGAGACTTGCCCAAGGTCATAGAGGTAGGTAGCAGGATTTGAACTCAGGTCCTCTGACCCTGAATTCCATGCTCTTTCCCCTGTGCCACGCTGATTCTCAAAGTTCCCAGGTTCAGGACACTGCCAGGGGAATAATGAGGAGAGCTGCCTTTGTGTAGGAGTGAGTGTGTAACATTTGCACACATCCATGTTCCTGGATGTGTCTTCATGTTGACATATGTATTCATGTGTCTTACTGTCTGTGTATGTGTCTGAGTGTTAGTAACTGTACTCACGCGTGTGCCTGCATATTAGTAGTTTTGTGTTCATGTGTCTGAAAGTTCATTCGAATATAAGTGCTTTTGTTGGGTGGGGGGGGTTCTTTTCTTCATCCCCTTCCCAGCCCCCATTCTGCTCATTCTGGGCACCCCCTCTCTTAGTTTCTCCCTCACACTACAGCTCATCAGTTGTATGTAGTCCTGGCCAGGGGCAGTCTGCTCCCCACCCCCCCAAGTCAGTCCTGACTCCTGCCGTGTTCTCCTTATTTGGCCACAGTGCTCCCGAGGGGGGCGGGGCGGGGGCTGACATCACCTCGAGAAGGGGGGGCACCAAAGCAGGGAAGGAGGGGCAGGGGGTAGGGAGTTGGGGGAGGCAGAAAAGTTTCTTTAGCGATCCCTGGGGCTGCCAGGGCCCCCCACGCTATCCAACTACTGCAGCTCTGAAAGGCCAAGACTTCGGGGCTGGCTTCATGGAGGGAATAGTTCCCCGCCACTCCTTCACTGAGAAACCCAGGGGTGTGGGGGAAATATCTGACAAAGTGCGGGCCCAGAAAACAGCCCCCTCCCCTTCATCTTCCTCCTACTCCTACTTCTAATAGATGGACTTAACTCTGCCTGCCCAGAGACTTGCATTTTGAGTGTTTTACATCCTGGTTTCCCATCCACAAGAAGACAAATTCTCTGGGGCCTGGGGGCCTCTCTACTTGGCCTCGTTGAGCCCCCCTCCCCCTACAGCACTCACACTTCAATCTCTAGGTCACTTGTAGCTCCAGTCTCTTCCTTTCCAGGGGGCTTTGAGGGAGGTGGAGAGGAGCTCTGGGACTCCTGGGAGATAGAGGGGAAAGGAAACCCAGGCCTCTAGGCTTCCTGGGGCTTCCTGGGGAAAGGTCCAGGGTAGGGATCAAGGACAGGGAGAACTTTATGTATTGTCTTCTTTATCTTGTCTGGTTCCTTGGTTTGGGATCTCTCTCTTTCTCTCTCTTTTCCTCCCCCCTCTTCTCTCTCTCTCTGTCTTTCTCTGTCTCTATCTTTGTCTCTCTGTCTTTCTTTCCTTCCCTCCCTTCCTCTATCATTTTATGTCTCTGTCTCTCCTGACCCTGGAGTCAAGACTTTAGTTCAAATATAGCCTTAGACAGTTACTAACTGTGCGACCCTGGGCAAATTACTCTGTCTACCTCAGTTTTTCTCAACTGTAAAATGAGGATAAAAATAGCACCTACCTCCCTGGGTTGTTGTGAGAATGAAATGAGATAATTGTAAAGTGCTTAGCATAGTGCCTGGCACATAGTAGGCAATTGATGTTTCCTTCCTTTCTTCCCCTTTATCCTCTCTCTGCCTCTCTCCCTCTGGTTTTTTCTTTCCAGTTCTCTTTGTTTCTCTCTTAATCTGACTCTCTCTCTCTCTCTCTCTCTCTCTCTCTCTCTCTCTCTCTCTCTCCCTCTCTCTCTTTCTCTGTCTCTTCTCTTTTTCTTCTCTCTTGTTCCTCTCTCCTCTTTCTGTTTCTGTCTTCCTTCTTTTTCTTCTCTCTCTCTCTCTTTCTCTCTCTCTCCCCCTCTAATCCTGCAATCAGAGAAATAATTCTTGAGTGGACTATCAGGGCTTTGGGGACAGGTTTCTAGGTCTTCACTGGGGCCTCCTGGGTTCCTTCACTTGCCCAGACCTGACCGACCCTTGGCACAAATGCTCCCTTAAATCCAAGAGCTGATGCCTAGAGTTATTGCCATGACAACCAGGCACCTTCTTTCCATAATCCCAGGACGTGTCCATCTTCACATCTAGCTGAAGAACAGGATTCCCCCAGATACCTTCCTTGTTTGCCCCCCTTCCCCCAGCCAACCCATCATCACCTTTGAGGCTTTCTGTGAGCCTCAAAGGCTCAGGGGGAAAAGACCTCCTGTCTCCTTGACTTCCCCCTTTCAATTTATGCCCCATTCAAGAAAGCTTCCCTGCCCTCCCTTCACCAATTCTCACTGACTTCCCCCTCAACCAAACATCAGACTGGAAAAAAGTGGCCACCCATTTGTCAGAACAGAGTAATTGTTGTCCTAGAACAGATACCTTATCCTGGGCTACAGAGGGTATGGGCCTGGGGCTATAGAGAGTCAGTCATATGGGACCTGGAGCTGTGAGAAATTGTTAGGGTTCAGAGCACTAATGACTTTATATGGAACTGTGTAAGTTTATGCAGACGTGTGTGGGGAAGACATCACAGTGTAGTGGGTGGAGCAATAGCCTTGGGTAGAAACTGTCTTTTGTCTTTCTTTGTATCCCTAGCACTTAGCACAATGCCTGGCACATAGTAAGTGCTAATTTACTAAGAAGAGTTGAGTTTGAACTGTTGTGCCTGTGTTTGCTAACTGTGTGACCCTGGGCAAGTCATTTACCTTTCCTGAGCCTCAGTTTCCTCATCTGTAAAATAGAGATAATAATAGCCCCTGCCTCATAGGGTTAATTGTGAAAACCAATGAGCTCAGGTATGTAAAACATTTGGCAAACCTATAAGGTGTCAATCTATATCGGTAGCAAGAGTTTCCTTACTGAGAGTTTTTTATACCAGTGAAATCACAATTCTAATCCAAAAGTGAAAGTGCTTTTAAAATGTGAGCTATGATTATACAAGACCATATGGAATTGGATGGCTCCATGTGAGTCTCTCCAGCAATATGTAGGCCTATGAGAGGTTTTTAGTATCATGAAAGTCTGTGGAGTCCTTTACATGGGGTATATGAGGTCACTTGGGACTGTGTATAACTAGGGGGGTGACATGGAACTGTCCTTGGCAATAGGAACTATCCACGCACCCCTGCACATGCCTTTCCAAGCTCCTCCCATTCCCACTGATGGACCCCTTTTCCTTTAGCACATAATCTGGGCCATTTATTAACACAACTTGTCATGACTAGTTCTCTGTGTGTAAATTCTGTCTCCCCACATGGACTATAAGTTCCTTGAAGGGAGCAGAGGGCTTCTCTTATCCCACAATGTAGAAATTCAATAAATCCTTCTTGGATAAATGAATGAATGAGAATGGAGTCTCAAAATGCTTTGAGATAAAAATAGCACCACGAGAGCAAGGGGCGAAAACCCCAAAGCTAACACATCAAAAGTATGGATGGATGTTTGAGGTGAAATGGGTGGGTGGTGACAGCCAAAAAACCTGGGAGTAGAAGGAAAAAATGAGTCACTGGTCCTTCCTAAATTCTCCTTTCCCTCTGTACCAGCCATATTAGTGATATTCTTTCGTTAGCCCAAACGATGACCGAGCTCTCCCAGCCCTTGTACCCTTTGAGCACAGACCCAAAGAGTACTGGATTTGAAGTCAGAAGACCTGGGTTCCAATATGGCTATGTCCTTTACTACCTCTGTGACCTAAAGCAAGTCATTTAATCTTTCTGAACCTCAGTTTCTTCATGAAGGCGTTGGACCAGAGGACTTCCCTTGAATTCTAAATCTGTGGCTGCAGAGAGCAGTGCTTGGAGGAGGTCACTGGGGTGGGGGCTAAGGACAGCAGCCTGTCACCCAAACACATCCCTTCCTCAAAATCGTAGAGTTGTCAGCCTCTGTTGCCATCCCTTATACACACCTTCTTGGTGGAGAGGGTGGAGGTGGGGTGACGCTTGAGGCACTGAGCAGACGGCCTGGGAGGTGGGGGGTGGAGGGGAAGGGTGAGTGTGGCTTTGGTTTGGGCAGAGCTGGTCTAGCCAGTTCCATGACCCCCATCCTGTCCCCTGTTCTACCAGGTCCTCGCGTGCCCAGCGGGCTCGAGGCCAGAGCCCAGAGCAACCAGCACAATAGCGTCCAACAGCTGGAACACCAGCAACAGCCCCGGAGAGGGCCGGGATGATGGGCCCGAGGGGCTGGACAAAGGGCTGGACAATGATGCGGAGGGAGTGTGGAGCCCCGACATTGAGCAGAGCTTCCAGGAGGCCCTCGCCATCTATCCTCCCTGTGGTCGGCGTAAGATCATCCTCTCAGATGAAGGCAAGATGTATGGTGAGTGCTAGGTTGGAGAGCAAGGCCCTTGTGAATAAAGGGAGCCTCCTAGGAAGGCGCAGAGGCATGGCTTCAGTGTGGAGCAAACAGGTAACAGGGTGGTGGCTGCAAGGTCAGGGAGGCCTGGGAAAGGTGGGGTCCACTGGGCTGCCCTGAGCTCCAGTCCTCCCTCATGGAGTGGTTCTCTCCAGAGGTTCCCCTTCTATTCCTCACCCCTCCCTTTGCTGCTCTCTGCCCCCTCACCCAGCCGGTTTGGTGAAATAACCCCTGCGCCAGCCACAGACGAGTTTGGGCGTGTGAGCCCGTGTGTCTGGATCAGGGCCTCCTCCTGCTTGTCCTCCTCCCCGTCCTCCTCCTCCTCCCCCTCCTCCTTTTCGTAAACAAGCCAACTTTGCCCCCTTCCCCAGTCCATGGCCAACACTCTCCTGCCCCTATCTACTGTTTCTGTTCTCAGCTTTACCTTCCCTCCCCCAAACTATTTGTTGGTTTTGGGGTGACTCAGAAAATGGGTAACTTCTGCCCCTAGGCTCTTAACACCAGGATCTCTGGGATGTCAGGGGTCCCTGACTGAGCTATGGAAGGACTTGTGTTGAGGGAACTGGGAGATACCCCACTAGCCCCAGAGCTACCATGGGAACCTAACAAGCTGGACAGAGGCCTTTTTGTGGGGTAGCTGCCACAGAGGGTGGATGTTTTACTACTGGGTGCTGTGGGCAGAGCAGAGCTGAGGCCCTAGTCAGACACTGTTGGTCATACTAGCTATGGACCCAAGAGAGACAGCTGGGCTAGGGGCTGGGGCTAGGCTCTTTGTGGAGGTAGGAGACAGAATTCTAGGTTTGAGAAACCTGAAGGGGTTGGGGTGGGGGGGCAAGTGTGACCTGAGTTGAAAGTGTATTGGGCAGGGGAGAGGCTCACATCTGTCCTCTCTTTGTTCCCCCAATCTTATCCATCTCATTTGTGCTCTTAGCCCATTACCCCCAGTATGAGTTACTTTTTTTATTGCCAGCCCCCCAAACCAAAAGGAAGTTTCCCCTACTCTTACAGCCCCTGGTGAGCCTGATCCAGAGCTGCATTTTTGGGATGACTCTGCCTGCTGACGTGCTGGGGCTGGCCCCTGGCCAGCTCCCCCCACCCCCCCAAACCGGCTCTCCCAGCTGCAGCCCAGACAGCTGGCGGCCACTTAAAGAGACAGGCCCTTAGCCTTTCAGCCCAGGCCAAGAGAGAAGGGGAAAGGGAGGAGTCTCAATATGGAAGGGACCAAAGGAGGTAGATTTGGGTGGGAAGGGCTGACTTGGGCTCCCAGTCCCACCCCCTCACCCCCAATTTTCTCATCTCCATGAGAGGGCCTCTCTCAGCAAGGAGATGCCCTAGGACAGGGTTGCCTTCCCCGGACTCACTGGGTTGCCTGCCCCTACCCCAGCCCCACAGACTAACTGGGGCAGCCCCAATGGGGTATTTTTAGCCAGGGATGGAGGAGTGGAGAGGGGAAGGCGGGAAGGGAGGAGGAGGGAGGGGAGACGGAAGGGTTTGGTTTAGTCAGGGGAGAAGTATTCCAGGAATGTGACTGTTTTAGGGGAGGACTTGGGGTTGGGGGTAACACAACTGGGATTTGGTAGAATGGGAAGTGGGCAGGAGGAAACATGGAGAATCTTATACCTTCAGAGACATACACTTGAAGAAACACATACCAAGAGCTTCTGGGCCCCCCTCCCCCACATTGCCAAGTTCCTTGGGTAGATGCCAGGTACCTTCTGCCATTTTCTAGGGCTTAGGGCAAGATCTTCTGGCTTCCTAGGGCAGATATCATCCCCACCCCCACCAGAGACGAGCTCCCCACCCTCTTCCAGCTAGAAGGGTGCGTTTTCAGGAAGCTGACCAAGTACCGTGACACACACAGGGCATATACACACCCTCCTAAAGATAGATAGATAGATAGATAGATAGATAGATAGATAGATAGATAGA